GACGGGATCTCCTTTGTACTTCCACAGCACCAGGGCTTTATGATAAGAAGTGTCAGCAACCTTGATAACTAGCAGTGCTGTTGACACATCAAAGATAATAAAATGTGCTCTTTGCTCATGTAAAATCCCCTGTTGTGCCTGAAAAGGAAGTGTGGACTATAATCCACAGGACTCTGACGATCATTGGTAAGAAACTGAAACTTAGGAGACTTCAGAGGTGGGCCTATGCAAACCTCATGAAGTTCAACAAGGCCAAATGCAAGGTCCTGCACCTGGGTTGGGGAAATCACAAGCATAAACAGAAGCTGGAAAGAGAATTAATTGAGAGAAGCCTCAAGAAGAAGGACTTTGGAGCACTGTTGGACAAGAAGCTCAACATTATCTGGCAGTGTATGCTCACATCCCAGAAAGACCATTTTCAAGAGCCCATTAAACCAAAGTGTTTCCAAGACTATGGTTTTAATTACTTAATCTTGTTAATCTGTATTTTATTAATTTCAAGTGATGCCTCATTCCAGACCATTGTTTACATGTTCAAGAAAAACCAAGCTCTAGAGACAGGAAAAAGTTGGTGCTTTTTGATGTCTTTGTTTCAAAAGAAAGAAGGGAACTTCTACCTCATGATAGCAATGCTGGGTTCTGCTACAAACATGCATTTACAAGACAGGTTATTCCGGAGCCAGCTGGAACACTTTCCATTTTAAAGATGTTTGTGTATCTGATAATTTTTTCCTAAACAAACCTCCATCCTGCCCTTGCCATTAAACCTGTCATTAGAGAGGCATATTCATTGGGTAGACAGTCATAACCAGAGCTGATGACCAGACAAGAACCAAGTTTAAATGCAAGGCAAACCAGACCCCAGTGAAGTTAAGAAAGGTATCAAGCAAAGACCAGAAGAAGAGAAACATAGAGATATGGGTTCTAGAGAACACAGCTCAAAGAACAAAGGAAAGGAAATTAAGTAAGTCTGAGTCTAGGCTAAAGAGCAGACAGATCTGGAACAAAGCTGAGAAAGAGCTAAGCTAAGCACATAAAACCAAAGTACAGAATACCATTACAATCAAGTAAAAGACTGAGAAGGCAAGACTAAATGATGAGACACCTACCTGAGACACTGACAAGCTAGCTTCAGAAATCCATCCTAAATTCAGTGTTGACACTGTTAGTCATGCAAATTACTCACTGCAGACAGCAGTCAGTTATAGAATTTGCCTGCCCAGGCTGTACCTGGCAGGGACTTGGAATTAAAGAGCTGTTTGTAGAAAGAAATTACTTAACTATCCTTGAAACTTTACAAATACCATGGAAATTAAAGGGATCACAGAATTTGTACGTCTAACAGACAATGTGGCAGGAAAAAATATTTACTCATTAAGAACATTTTGGTGCCACCAAAGACGTTTCTAGCTTATACTAAAATCTTGGAAATAAACCTGTCCATGATCAACTTCTTCATTGGAGTAGACCAAGTAGAGTAGATATATCACAGAATTAAACTGAATACCTGCCAAAGCACATCCATGTGTGTGTTTCTCCATTCACTGCTCATCTGAGTAATTTTAAATGCTATAGTGGCATATAAAAGGTCATTATTTAACTAATCACTTTTACAGTGATGAAGTTTCCTGCCAAATATTAACAGGTAATTATCAGCTATAAATTTACATGCATGCCTAATGCTATTCCACTTGATCACATAGTTTAAATTAAAGACACTTTCAGCCATGTGCTGGGTGGGTGTCTTTAGTATTTACTGCTCTTTTATTCAGGTTTCCTGACAAGGAAACAAAACCATACTGTTGTATTCATACACACTAAATGTCTATCAAACCACATCCTTCTAACAGCTTTTGAACCTGCTGGCTAATTTCAAGCACATCTGACAAAGAGGAAGTAACTTACAGATATTACGTTTCCATACATCAAATTGAAATAGGCAGATAAGCAGAGGAAAGAGATTACTGGAGTTCATTTAATTTCCATCCCCCTCTTCTGTCATTGATGGAAAGACTGTATCATGAACATTTTATTTAAGTCTAGAGAATTCATATTAGAAAGCTATTGTGGATGTCCTGTGACAGAAAAAGAAGCTTCTCAGATTGTAGTTTATTAGGCATCTGAGAATCCAAGCAAAAAATACCAATCCACAAGGCTTTCCATGCTCATAAGTCTCTGTGCATTAAATAAGCATTACTTGCTAACAACAAACTCATATTTCAAAAACTTATAAACTTACTTATAAACTTATTACACTTCTGTTTGTAAAAAATACTCTCTTGTCTTGCCCTAAATAAACAGGTTACTCTTTAAAATGTATGGGAACTGCCTGTGTATTTCTTTCCCAGTGCTGACATCATGGAAATATCACAAAGTTTGACAGCCTGGTGGAAAGCAGTATTCCAAAGAGACATTGCTCTTGCCCCTATAGTTGAGCAGACATAAATAGGACCTGTTTTCTTTAGATTTTGAGCAAAATCTCTTCTGGACAGCTAATGATTTAGCTAACAACAAAATGACAGAGAAATTGTTTAACTAGCTAAGGGACCCTCTTTGTATTTGCCATGAAGTTGTTGCAGCAGAATTTAAAAAAATTACTCTGAGAGTGTCTTATGACCAAAGACCTCAAAGAATGAAAACTTAGAGACATAAAATCTTGAGGTGCCATTTTAAGCAGGATTTTTAACAGTCTAAGATGTCTATAAGACTGATTTTTTTTTTCTTAATTTCCTTATCACACTTTAGGAATAGTTTTACACTAAGCCAAAAAATATCTGAAATGAGTAAGAGAACTTCTTGTATGCTATTTTAGGCATGTTTAAAGAAAAATCACTGAGCCTAAGATAACTGAACATTTTTTGCTGTGCATTTTTTATAAAATTTTGCTCAAGCAATTTGCTCTCTTCCCAGGAACAAATAATAACACAAACACAACCTGAGTTATTTTTATGTTGGTTTAGATCAGATTAGATTGTTCTTAGCCAAGGCTGGAGCTCAGCTGTAAACTGACACTGTTTTTGTAAACTGGCATAGATTCACTGAAAACACCATACCTGTTCAAGATCTGTCTAACTGACTGTGTTCATGTGAAGTCTGTAGTAATAAAAAGAATGAATGGTATGTAAACAGCAGGATGAATGTACAATGTCACCTTTTAGCAGTATCTGTTGTAGCTCAATTTGCCTTATTTAGGTATGGAATTATCAACATTCACTGAAGATTTTAAATGTGGTTGCTACACTTCCCAGATAGGCTCATGATTTCACAGAGGATCAAAACAGCAGTTAAAGCTTAGCAAATTTCAAGGAGGAAAAATCTTCACATACCACTTTTCTGCAATATACTTAACTATTTTCAACTTTACTACAAATTTCACTTACATAAATTTGTCATAAAATCCCTGTTGCATGGGATTTTATGTCCTTCCATGGTCAACTTTCTTTTTAAGGAGGAGCAAATACACCTGAAGACTCTGCCTCAGTTCACCACGAGAGCATCAAACAGTGAAATTAAAACTGAATTGAGATTCCACCAGCAGCTTCAGTGATAAGCATTTGAATATCTGGACTTTGTGTGGTTTTTCAACAAAAGGCATTGTTTCTTCAAGAAACAGATTTTTCTTTGGCCTTACAAGAGCTAGATTTTTTCCATTACATTCTTTTTCCTCTTTCTCAGCTTCAACTACCAGTTGTTAAAACGATCTGTATATATCATGAACTCAAGAATATTTTCCTGTTCTAGTTAAGAAATATTTTTCAGTATAGTTTCTTCTAATTTTTTTATGGTGGCACTGCAACACCTTTGTATGTATTAATGGAAAATCTGTTACCAATCTGCACGTAACTCTGAGTTTTAAATATAATTCTTAATTTTGAAATATGTGTGTATATATAAAAACACACATTGTAACAATACAGACATCAGTATTAATTAAATAGAGAAGGTCTAGACTGGATATTAGGGAAAAAATTCATTACTGTGAAGCTGATGAAGCACTCAAACAGGTTGCCCAGAGAAGCTGTGGATGTCCCGTCCCTGGAGGTGTTCAAAACCAGGCTGGATGGAGCTCTGAGCAGCCTGCTGAAGGGTGTTCACTGCAGAGGAGCAGAACACCTCTCAGAGGGTGCTGGAACTAGGTGAGCTGCAAGTTTAAGAGAGGCTGGAACTAGATGAGCTGTAAGGTACCAACCCATCCTGTGATTCTACAGAATTCCTACCCGGATCACCAGATGCACACACACTAAAGCCTTTCAGAAGGATGACTTTTTTCAGCTCAGTTGTGTCATCTGAAAGTTCCACGCAGGTTATGGGGCGAGTCAACAGTCATTTTTCCTAAATAACTACAGATTTTGAGCATTTCTAGAATATCTCTCCAATAGGGTTGCTTTTCTTAAATTTGCTGTTTAGCAGAGGGAGCGGGTGCTGGGATGTAAATGACCAGATTTGGGTTTGATGTTGGCAGTTTCATTTCCGGCGCAGATGCTGGAACTTTGTGAGATGTCTGTGAAACACTGCAAACGCGTTTCGTGTGGCATTTGCCACCCTGGGCCGAAGTGTCACAAGAGGACATTCGTGTCATTCAACTCCAGTCAGCCCATCGCTTAACATCTCCCCTGAAGGGAAAAAGGCCACCAGCTCCCAAGCCCTGCCGCAACGAGGGTACCGGGCACAAGCGTGTGTGCCAGAGGCACAGCCTCGCCGGGGACACGGCCCTGCCCGGGAACCGGGGGCACAGCCTCGCCGGGGGCACGGCCCTGCCCGGGAACCGGGGGCACAGCCTCACCGGGGGCACGGCCTCACGGCCCTGCCCAGCCCCGCCGAGGGCACAGCCTCACCGGGGGCACGGCCTCACCGGGGGCACGGCCCTGCCCGGGAGCACAGCCTCACGGCCCTGCCCGGGAGCCGGGGGCACAGCCTCATGGCCCTACCCAGCCCCGCCGGGGGCTGTCCGCTCCAGGACGGCGCCGGCGCATGCGCGGGCGCCGCGGGCTGGCGGAGCGCTGCGGGCGGGGCGGAGGGGCCGGGGCAGCCGCGGGGCCGGGCCGGGCCGGGCCGGACCTTCTCCGGGACCCGACCTTTCCCCGCGCCCGCCGCAGGGCATGGGCGCCGCGGCTCCGCGCTGCGCTGCCGTGCCCCGGCCCCATGAGTCCTCGCCGGAGCAAGTGAGTGCGGGAGGCGTCCGGGCGGTAAGTGGCCGCTGTCCCGCGGCCGCCCTGCCTCCCCAGGGCAGCGCGTCCAGCCTGAGCTGAGCGGGAGCTGGCGTCCCCGGGCCGTGCCTCCGCTGCCCTCAGCTCAGCTCCGCTGTGCCGCTGGGGTGGCCCGCGGCTTCTCCCTATCCGCGCATTTAACATTTTTTATGAGAACCGCTCGCCCCCCGCTGTCTCCGGGCGGGGCGGGAGGGGAAGGGAGGCTGCCGGGGGTCTCCGCGGGGCGCGGCCGGTCCGGGCTCGGCGCGGCTCCGCCGCCTCCACCTGCGCGCTGGTCCCTCTGTAAGGCGGACTCGCCCACCCTTCTCCCCCTCTTCCTCTGCAGGCCACCGGCGGCCCGTCCTCGGGAGGGAGGATGTGGTGAGAGGATGGGGCTGTGTCCCGCGGGGGCTCGCCATGGCCAGGGAGGACTCGGTGAAGTGCCTGCGCTGCCTGCTCTACGCTCTCAACCTGCTCTTCTGGGTGAGTGCGGCGGGCCGGGCCGGGCGCGGGCAGGTGCCGCCCGCAGCCGAAGGGCGGGCCCGGCCGCGGGCTGTCCGGAGGTGCCGCCCTGCTGCCCCTGGCCCCATGCCAAGCAGCTCCCGCCGGGGAGTACATTTTACTGGGGGAAAAATGCCTTTGGAAACTAGGAGGAAGTAAAATTGAATTAGGGCTACTCGTGGGCATTGGTGTACCTGTAATATATAAAGAGGGGAATATTCAGGGGTGGCTTCTTGACTGGGTGAGTTTCAGAGCATCCTGTGACCCAAGATGAACTCCAAGCTCTCGAGGGTACTTGAATAGTCTCGAAGGTCTGCCCATAGTCTTTTTTGTGCATTCAGTGGACAGATCCTAAGTGGCAGGCAAGGCCTTTTGTCTTGAGGATTTCAGTCAAAGCTGTATTTATAGCAGCAGGGTTTCTCACTCGCAGTACAAGTGGGTGTGATCAGCTCTTGTTCCTTTAACTTTTGGAGATTTGAAGAAACAGCAGGACAGATATTTTCAGAGTCCTCACTCATTTGCAATAAATGAAATCTCTTTCACCAGAATAGATGAGATTTGTGCATGGTAAGAGATGCAAATGGGATGATGGTGCACACCTGGGGCTCACACCTGGTTCATAAGGGCTGGCTCCTGATGAATGATGCAGGGATGGGACCAAACGTAGTTTATATTTGATTTTTTTTTCTATCTGCATCTAGCTCTGGGATCCCCAGCACAAGAAGGACATTGACCTGTTGGCATTGGTGCTGAGGAGGGCTACCAAGATCATTAGAGAGGTGGAGCAGCTCTTCTGCGAGGAAAGGCAGAGAGGATTGGGATTTTTCAGCCTGGAAGAGAGAAAGCTTTGAGGTGACCTATTTGTGGCCTTCCACTACCTGAAGGGAGTCTACAAGGAAGATGGAGAAGGGCTATTTACTAGAGCACATAGTGACAGGACAAGGAGGAGTAGCTTCAGACTGAAAGAGAGTAGGTTTACATTACATATTATAAAGGAAGACATTCTTACTGTGGTACCAGTGAGTCACTGAAACAGGTTGCCTAGAGAAATTTTGTCTGCCTCATCCTGGAAGTCTTCAAGCTTTTAATAACCTGTTCTAGTGAAAGGTGTCCCTGGCCATGGCAGGGGCTTTGGAATTGAGATGAAGTCCTTTGATGACTGAAAAATAAATGGAAATCAGAATCTGAATGAGAGAGAAAACTGTTAAACAGCATGTGGAACAGAATGGTAGTTTTTGTGCAAAAAGGATTGCTTTGTTCAAGTTGGGGTCATGAAGCCTTTGAAGTCCTGAATAAAACTGTACAGGAGTAAGTGGACACTGTCTGGTAAGGTCTGACTGTCAAGCTCTTAGAAGAGAACATCTGAAGTAAGCTTCAAAGTGTGTCCTGTGTGCAGCTGTCCCAATATGTGTGATGGGACTTCAGCATTTGTCATTGCCAGCTTGGTGAGGATAGACTAGTGCGTATGAAGCTCTTTAAGATTACACAGATGGCTAGTCTGATCATGAATACTGCTGAAAAACTGAAGGTGCAGATGGTGGCTGCAAAACACCACTGTCTCCATTATTTGGTTGGTTTTGGTGCTTGTGGAAGCAGAGGAGTGAGAGAACTTTATCAGTCACTCTGCTGCTGTCCTTAGAGATTTTCCATAGTATTGCTTGTAAATGTACAGCTGTATGCTCTGTTTGAAAAGAAACTTTTTTTACTGAGCTCAGCTGATGAGCTGTGATGTACCTGTGTGTGCATGAGAGGGAGGCAGGCAGGAAGTGTTGTTACAATGCTTCCTGTCACTTTTGACCTAAAGTCTGCTGAGCTGTACATAATCCATAGGCAATCAGCTGAAAGGCCAAGGCTCTGTTGTAGTGGTTCATTGTGTTTTATAATGGACCAGTAAATGTACTGCCCTTACTGCTCCAGAAAAACACTGGTTCTGTGCAAGTGAGTGGATTGGTACTTCAGGACCTGCAACTTGCAGAAAGGCTTTCTTCTTACAAGATGGAACTAAATTCATCGTCAGTGCTCTGACTGTTGTTGGTTAAGTGACTGATGCTAGTCGTAGACCTGATGATACCCTTCTGGAAGCTTTTTCCGTGAAGCATGCATCTGACTGCAGGATGTCTCTTTCATAGCAGTGGAAGTAGCAGTTTCAGGACATCCTCAGTCTTTTTTTTTTGGCTGTTTTTTTTTTTGACAGTGCCCTGGACAAGGAATATCCTTCAGACTAAATCTTGCAGTTAACATTTGGTTTCATTCTTCTGCAGTCCTCAGATATATATATAAATAGGTATCACTTCTTAGTGTAATTTGCAAGACTGAGGGATTCAACTTGATTGTATGTTCTGTAACACTACTATTTCCAGTATATTAAATTCTGGAAAGCCTAATAAAAGAGAAGACCTCCAAAAAGGCATGATTTGGTGTTTTGTGGTCAAGACTTAGTGCTTAGCTAAGCAGCCTATCTTAGTGGCTCTGGAGGGAAGATGTGTTCCTACTGCTTCCTATTTTTCTGTTCTTAGGGACAGTACTGGTCTTTGTGATACCTAGATAGTGTGTGTGTCAGGACTTGGAGAAATTTAGTTTTGATGGCTTTTCAAATATGTAGTCTTATGTAGTTTATGGGCCTGCAGGGTTTTTCCTTCTGGTGGGGGCTTTGCTGTGTTGGCAAGCTCCTGATGCCGTCCCAGCTCAGTAGCAGTCCTGGGTGTAACATGAGTATCCTTATTCATTTTGAACACTGTATTACTTGTCCTCACAGAATCCCTCTTTGCCACGCTTTGCAGTGCTGCCACTGTTCTGTATTTTGCTATGGCTGTTTTCCTAGTCAAACCACCTTTGCAAGCATTTATACTGGGCAGACCTTCAGTCAGACAACATGGTCATCCTGTAATAATGGCACAGATATATCACAGGAGATACTGGAGTACAAGTATCCCCTGTGGGTTGTGCTAGAGCAGGAGCTGAAGCAAATGGTGCTGAATACAAGGAAAATTCAGCCACCTGGCTGCTTACAGTAGTAGGGGGTTAAACAAAGCAGTAGTTTTGAGACGTACAGGTTTGTTCTACTTTCCTTTGCAGCTCAGCCATGTATGTTCTTTAAAAGAAGTTATTAATTAATAGTTGAAATAAATGAACTAGATAGTGGTAGTAAATGCAACTAAAAGCAATTCAATAATTTTATCAATTTTCTCAATTCTTTGGAAGAAAAGCAGAGTATAACATGGCAGGAAGAGTGCATGGAAAAGTCCGTACAGAGTAAGAACTTTTTTTTTTTCCTGGTGGGCATGTGAGGCAGGAGCAGCTGCTGTTGTGTTGCTTGTAATTGAGGATGACTGCACTGTAGTGCTGCGGACAAATCAAGGTTGTAAGTTGCAGTTGACTGTGTCGCAGGTGGTAAGGATCTCTTAACTGATGATTAATAGAGTCAGTGGATGTTTGAGCCAAGACAGTGATGGTGCCACTTTTCTTTCACCTGGTGAGCTTTTTTTTTGCCTAGGGATATGCTGTTTCTGTTGAACAGTGTTTAAGATTTCCTTCAGCAGTACCATTTAATTTCACTTGTGTGATTGCAGCCAATAAACACTTCTGGCAGGTAGTGGAAATTGTTTGCATCCATCTCAAGCTTGTGTTTGTGAACAAAGTTTTAAAAAAAATCGCATAAAATGAAAGTGGAGCATGTTTCCAGTTAGTTTTCCAGTTGAGTACTTTGCACACTTAAATCTTCTAGTTTTGCCTGTGTTTACTAATTGAGAACTCAGAGCAAGTAGATATGAGTGTTGTGCTAGGAGGTAACTAAGGGTGGTTGTAAGCAGTGATATTTTATTTCTGGTTTCCTCCAACTTCAAATGCATGTGTTGAATCTTGTAATTTTTTTGCTTTATTTTTCAAGTCTGTTGTTACTTGAGAGTCACCATCCCTGGTTGTGTTTAAAAAAAGACTGGATGTGGCACTTGGTGCCATGACCTAGTGGAGGTGTTAGAACATGGGTTGGACTCTTTAAGATCATCATGGATGATCTTAAAGGTCTCTTCCAACCTAGAAATTCTGTGATTCTGTGAGAAAGAAATCAGTCTATCCTGCCTTCTGTGAAAGCAGATTCTGCATAGAGGTTGTTTCTCCTGCATTTTGAGTTCCACTCTTGTTGGTGGGGTTTGTAGATATTTGGAATGAAAAATTTGGGTCAATGTTTTAAGTGGCAAATAATATCCATTGAAATTAACACTGCCTGGCCAGGTACCTGTAGCACAGTAAACTGTGTTTTAGGCTAATATCCTCTGATTTTAGAGACTGCAGTTTAGACATGTGGAATTAAAACCTGCTTTTCTTAGCATTCTTTGTATAAAGAAAATAACTGTGGCTTCTGTGGGAATATGCTGTCTTTTTAAAGGAATGCTTTCAACAGAGAAAGCTATAGGAGGAGTTTTAAAGGACCAGAACTATTTTTAATTCTGGTATTTGAGAAATCTCTTTGGTTTCTTTAGGCTGTAGTATTTATACAACATTGTTACATTACTAGACTACCTCCTAACAAAGTAGAGTTCAGCCATGAGTCAACTTTGTGTCTATCTCTATATAACTTTTTATTCCAAGTATCTTTGTAGGTGATATGGCTCACCCTGAGTGGCATATCAGCTGTGAATTGCTGGATGAGTTTCTGGAAAACTGTCCTGAAAAAGAGTGCTAATGGAAAGGAAAAAAACAAACCCAGACCCCACTCAAATGTTAGAAATTGCATTAATATGCTTTTTAATTGCCATTCAGAAAGAAATGAAGCACAGACACTTTTTTGGTAATACTCACAATTAACACTATGGAACTCATTGCATCAACCTGGAGGATGAATCACAAATCTGTGCTGACAAGATTTGAGCCCATAGCTCAAGGGGAAGGAAAAATTTCAAGCTATTTGCTTATTCTGGTAAACCACAATCTGAAACAAACTGGAAGGCTTCATCTGGCATGTAGGTACTTGTATATTTTTTCCT